TTGCTGACAGCGTCGGAGAAGCGTTGCACATTTTATGGCTGGGAATGCGTTTCATTTTAACTGAGCGTCTTGGTGTTTGGAGCTACGCTACGCTAACCTGAGGACGCCATAGCATTTGAAAACTTTTCGAGACACTCGAGTGGATGCACAACTCAACAAACACATTCGCAGGGAAACAGCTCCACAACCCGGCGTGCGCCCCGGCGGAGGTGGGATCCCGGCCCCGCTGCGGACCTGCCGCAGCAGACCGGCGAAATACAACTGGGGAGGCTCGACTGTCATCACTGGCGTCCATGAATGGAGAAGGACTTCTTACTGGAACTGAACCGATAAACTGGGATTAAACTCTTTAAGTTTCGGTAAGCGACAAACTGGGTTACTTTTTCACACAACTGTATATACGTATGTTAACACCTTATTTTGAAAACCGGACGGAGTCACAAGTGTATCCTTCTGCTTAATTTGCCTAAATCTGTCCGCGCCAGCTAGATCTGGGCTGAATGCATTTAGCAGAAATGAGATTTCAGAATATGGGTGAGGGGAATCTTGGAAGTTTTTTCTCTGACTAGTACCCCCCTTTTCCTGCTCCGTATTCATTTTTTTATACCTTCAATGGCTCTAATACACCATTGTAGAATGCTGTTTCAGGAGAGCAAATGTATATTTACAACTGACAGAGCTAGCCAGCAAGGCCAAAGGGCCTATAACATTATTTCACTCAATAACCTTGTTTCTCCACACTATTTTTGGCAATCTACCAGAATAGTCTGTCTGAACATGGCCTTACATCAAGGTTCCTCTTGTCCACTGCTATTGTGGCAATCATAGTAGTCATGCAGTTGCCCCTAAGGCTGTCTCTCAGCACCGAAGTCAACATGGAGTTCCTGTAGGGGATATGGGAGCGGTTCTTCTCTGACAAAGCTATGATCACCTGAAGAAAACAGCAGTTGAAAGGGCTAAATTGTAAATCAATACGGAGATAGAGGGTTACTCCATCTATTGCTGTTGTGTGTTTATACAGTAGATAAATAAATTTCAATGAAACGTATAGCAATCCAAATGAAGTAGCCTTAATCAGCAAAATATTGTTTTTACTCATGCGGAAAGCTTTAAACTTCACACACAGGGTAAATTAAGCAAATTCATTATTGATACAAAACATATTTTGAATACTAAATTGTTTGCACAATATATTATTCCAAATAAAAAAAACGATGTCTCAGAAGCGGCTACCTGCTCCAAGTAGTGGAGGGAGAGGTTGATGTACTTGGCCTCAGTGAGCAGCTGCCCATTCAAGCCAGTCTTGCTAACTCTATCCGATCCAGCCAGGTCCACCAGATGGAGCTTGGAGCGTCGCAGGGTGGCCGAGCCCGGCTCACGACTGCACACGTGCACGGTGAAAATACAGTGGGACCGCGTGGATGCCTGGTTCATCGGAGTCTGCAGAAGAGAGAAGAGAGACCATTTTGAATATGCTGCAATATTCCAAGGTCTGTGTGAGAGTATTCTCAATCCTCTAAAATTGGTACACATGGTGGACACCAAGAAGAAAAAGGGAATTTCATTCTCCATCTGCCCTACTTTCCATATTGAAACAACAAAAAACATGTTTCCTTTGATTCTTATTTTTTCTTGCTCCCCGCTGGTTTGAAGATCAAAGCCACACCATGTGTAACCCAAGAGCAGTAAACACATGGTGGTAGCTTTACAAAAGCTGAGGTTGCTTTTCAGATGGTCACTGGAACAGCAGAAGTCAGGTTGAGACAGAAATAGAGTGGGAGTCACTCCGCACAAACAAACTTTATTAACTAGAGGAGGATGGTTACTCATGGGGTCCTCGATGAGAGGATAAACGGAGGGAATTGATATTCACTGAAATAGTGCTGTTCATTGACTTCTTTCTGTCTTCTTGTAGGCAGCTTGGACATATGATGGTGGATTAAAATAACAGATTTTAATTAGAACAAAGGGGTTGTCCGTCTGATACAGCACATCTCTTTTCCTTTTGTGAATTGGTCATTGACTGAAGACATGGACATGACTTACTTTTACTCTCTGCTCGAAAAATCATCATCATAGACATACCAGGTCATTCATTCTATAAAGGTGCTCTGATCCCGACTTGTTGGCGTAAATGTGCCAACACCTCCCTGTTAGGGTCGTGACAGCTCACGACAGATCTTTCACTATCTTAACCCACCGCTGTCAGCACTTTCCACAGTCCAAAATTCCCTTCACTCTGCACACGTCCAAGTGTGCTCCTCAGGGTATCCCTTAAAGTAATATCAAACAGCCCTTCAATGTTGACAAGGGATCACATACATAATAGGATTGAATAAAAGGACATGGATAAGGATAGTGTGTCCCTTTTGAAGAATCTGCACTGACAGCTAACCAAACAAATGCTGGTGAAACTTGATAGTCAACCTGACCAGCCAGATGTTTTTTTAGTCATTGGTCATTGGAAACTGTTCGGAAAAGTGCAGGCACTCTAAAAAAATGCACGTCAGGTAATTGGATAATCTATCAATCAAACAGGGTCACCATGCACCAACCTCAAACATCATCAAGAGTCCGCTAATCCTTCTGCCTCGGAGTCTACAACCGAGGCAGAAAGTGAGAACCAGCTCCGGGTGTTTACTACCCTGCTGACGGTGAGAGTGATGAACAAGCACCCTCCAGAACCTGAACCAGGAGGAGTGGGTCTACCACATTAAGAGACTGGCAAACCAGACGATGGAGGGGCTCCCTTCAGCCCGGACGTGAAGAGTGCCAAGAAAGTGTGCAAGGCTGGAGTGAAAGTACAAATCAAAGACTTATCTGCTAGGCTTGCAAAGGATGCCGCCTCCCACTGTTGGTGCAGAGATGTGCTCCAGGTCGTGGCTTTTTCCACAGGTACATCATCTGCCTTCTTTCAAATCGTTCTCATCCCATAAAGCACCACACCAACAGCTGCAGGTAGACAAAGTGTGCAGCAATGCCACTGAGAGAAGTCTATAGGGCCTCATGGTGGCTCAGTGGTTGACACTGTGGCGTAAGGGCAACAAGGTCAAAGTCACACCAACCTTGACTCTTGTTTCTATGAGGAGTTTCTCTGTGTTGGCATGGGTTTAGCCCAAGTGCTCCAGTTTCCTCCCCCGCTCCTAATTTAGACAATAAAATTGTTGAATTGTATTTTTGATGTCTGAAGCACTTCTTAAACTAGAAAATACATTTCCTGCTTAAAATGCGTTGGAATGCAGAAAGCTGAAATGAATCGCAAAAAAATTGTTGAAAATACAGAAATGGGAGACTACCTGTCTGAAAAATGTTGAAGCCCGAAAGCATTAAACTGCAACGTTGAAAACCCTTAGAGGAAAGAAGCTGAATTACAATGCAGGAAAAGCTTGAGGCTAAATGATTTTACTTTCAAAGTAATAGTAGTAAAAGTAGTAGTAGTAATAGTAATAGTACTAGAAGTAGTAGAACTATTAGGAGTAGTAGTAATAGCAGTAGAAACAGTAGTAGAAGTAGTAGAACTATTTGTAGGAGTAGCAGTAATAGTAGTAATAGCAGTAGTAGTGATCATAGTAGTAGTTGAAATAACAGTAGTATTAGTAGAATTATTAGTAGTAGCAGTAATAACAGCAGTAGCAGTAGTAGTAGTAGTCATAGTAATAGCTGTAGTAATGGTCGTAGTAGTAGTTGGTATAAAAGCAGCATTTGTAGTAGTAGTAGTAGTAGTTGTAGTAGTTGCAGTAATAGTAGTAGCAATGCAGTTGTAGTAGAAGTGGTAGTTGTACTATAAATATTATTAGTAGTAAAAGTATTAGTAGCATTAGAATAAGTACTAGTAGTATCAGTAGTGATATTTATAGTAGTAGTTGTAGTAGAATTGATAGTCATAGTAGAAGTATTATTAGTAGTGGAAGTATTAGTAATTACAAGTAGTAGAAGTAGTAGTATCAGTAGTCGTAGTAATAGCTGTAGTAGTGGTTGTAGTAGTTAAAATAACAGTAGTAGTAGAAGAAGAAGTAGTAGTAGTAATAGCAGTAGTACTAGTAGTAGTCATACTAATAGCTATAGTAGTATTAGTATTGGTAGTAGCATGAATAGCTGTAGTAGTAGTAGTATAAGTAATAGTAGTATTGGTAGTAATAGCAATAGTGATAATATTGGTGGTAGGAGTAATAGCAGTAGTAGTAATAGTAGCAACAGCAGAAGTTGTAGTAGAAGTAGTAGTAATACTAGAAAATCAGCAGCAGTAGTAGTAGTTGTCGCAGTATTAGTAAGAGCATTAAGTATTTCAACAAAAAAGCCTCATTTTGAGCTTAATGTTTAAATACAGTTAATCCATGGGGCTTTTATTTTGAAAGGGTGGGCTGAGTGGGGGAGAGAGGAGAGGAGACAGAATGAGAATGTTTGAAACACACAGAGGTTATTAAATGACAGGCTTCATCACAAGCATTCCAGTTAGAATTCCCTCTGTGGGGCTTTTATTTTGAAATGGGGGGGTGGGGGGGGGGGGTCCTCTAAAAATCTCTAAGACCTGAGTGACTGTATGAGAGAGACACACGGAGAGAGAGAGACACAGACAGAAAGAGAGAGAGAGGAGAGAGAGTGAGTGAGTGAGTGAGTAAGAGAGAGGGAGGGAGAAAGAGAGACACGCAGGGAGAAAGAGAGACACGCACACAGATATAGACAGAAAGAGAGAAAAAGAGAGAGAGAAAGAGAGCCTGAGACAGACAGAGAGAGAAAGATTGAGTGAGTGTGGGAGAGGGAGAAAGACAGTGGACTCTCTCTGATTGGGAGAGAGAGACAGACAGACAGTTAGATGGAGTGAGTGAGACAGACAGACAGGAGGTCTAATGATCTTTCCCTAAATATCTCCAAGTCATGTGTGTCTGTGCGTGTGTCAGTGTGTGCGTGTGTGTCAGTGTGTTTATCAACTTCACTAATTAGCTCAATCAAAAACACCTGTGTGCCTGCAGCCTTTACATGGAGATAAAACTGTGAAACACCTGTCAAACAAATCCTCAAAACCCCCATAACCGTAGCTTCTATTGCTCCGATATTAGAACTTGAGAGGAAGGATGACTTGACGAACAGACCATATGAAAATTGTGTCTGTAGTCTAAAAAATGTGGCTTCACTGGCGATCTAGAAATGTTGTACGGTTGTCTGAGCAAGATTTTTTTGAAGTAAGAATTAACATTGATCTCTATGGAGCAGATAGTTGGTTTTCCTCTCAATTAGAAGCTGTTGTGCCAAATGGCACGACAAGGACACGATTAGCTACTTTTCTAATTTTCTAAAAAATTATGCATGAAGAGTAAAAATTGTGGTCTGTGCCAATATAGAATTTTTTTTCACAAGATTCTGAAGCTCCTCTTCCCTCGAGCGATGACATCACGCACTCTGAACTGCGCAATACACACCCGTTAAAAGCAGAAAATTACGGAAAAAATCATAAAAGTTAAAATGTGACAGTTCAAAAAGTGTAAAAGATATCAAAAATCGTATAACATACAACAATAGCTCAGGGTTTTCTCAACATTTTAAAGTTGAAATGGTGTATGTGAGGAAAGTATGAGGAAGAAGAAGAATTTGAAAGTTGAAGAAGTTTAAGAGAATTTGAAGATTCTCTCCACAGACATCCCATTCAGAAGAAAATGTGCAAAAAGCTTAATAATTCAAAAAGTTTAAAGGTTAGAAACATGAAATGTCATAACAGGCATGTCCTTAAACAGCTGAACATTTTAATATTCAAACAGTTTCTGTAGCTTAAAAAATGTGGAAGGAGATGCGTGCCAAAAAACGTACGGAAGAAGTTGAATAAAGATTCGAAGAACAATACTTGGAATGCTGAACCAGCAATTTCTAAAATGTCCATTTAAAAAACATCAGTCGTACATAATTCCTAAATTAACTATACTATAAATGGTTCAATATAAATGTAAATATATGTTCAAGAAACCACATTTTGTATTCAATATACCTGTTTGCATGTTACCCGTTAGCTGCCGTAAACTGTGAGCTGTCCCAACAAAAGCAACAACGCAACAAAACATGTTCACGACAACGTTTGTTCGGTCACGTTTTATGCTAACTCTAACCCTACTTGGCTGAAATATTTTTCCAAGAGGGGCAAATTGTTGAAAAAAGTTTGAGAACCACCGGATTAATTTACACTGTAACTTACTCAAACTTTTTTCAACAATTTTTCAACATGTAAATTTTACACACATGTTTTTTGTGGTGCTGTCGAACTGTATTGAAGTCTACTGCATCGCTATTATTGCGTCCACCCCATTTATATAAATAGCAGAACCACCTCTCTGTATAACACAATACAGTTCAATAGTACCACTAACTTCATCCTCCAAAATGATCAATCAATTGAGTCAACACCTCTCTCAAACGGTTTCAACAAAATCTTAACATTATAACCCTTGTGATGGTAGGATTTACTGCAGGGCTGTTGTATTGTGCTGCATTCATTTTAGCAAAGTGGGACATATGCAGTAAGTGACTGTTATTGCAAGTCCTACAGTGGAAATTGATAGCAGCATTCATGGATGACAGTTAAAAGTATTCAAATATACAGGCAGCAGTCCATAGATAAGAAGTGACTGTTGGCTCTTATCTCTGAGCGTTATTGTGTCCCCACTGAGAGACAGTTTGGGTAAGCTTTGACGTGTGTGAATTGTGCGCGATAATAACTTAAATTTGATATCACTAGATATAATATAAACATTTCTTTAGGAGTCCTATACAAACTCAAAAGTATAAAATAGTACGGACGGGAGCACACTGAGCACAGCATGTCTATTGAAATGGTTACAAACTGTGTGTATCATGTCTACAGAGGAAATAGTGTCCACACAGGGACATTTAGGTATGTCTTAGCTGTGAAAATATACCAGCAGGACAGTTCAAGCTCTTTGAAGTCACTTCCTGTATTCTCCTGTGTTCTCAATTAACCACATGTTGATCTTACATGCACCACATGCTAACCACACACATAAAGGTTCACTGTGGTGCTACAAACCCTGAAACACTAAGAGATTGCTGAGTTAAAAGATTAAAAGTGAAGTTTCATTCAGACCACCTGCTATGGACTGTACAAGTTCAGCAGGCAGTTAGGATGTAGAAAGAGGAAAAGATCCAGGCCTACATGTGAAACAGGGACGGAGAGAGAGAAAAAGGGCAGATGAGAGGAAACGTTTCCTGGTGAGGTTGAAGGAAGGGTGAGGAGTTTAGAAGGTGTACTTTATTTCCTGTCCAATAAAAGTGGAGAGGGGATTGCCAAGTCTCAAAGCGAGTGAGTTCATGATCTGTCGAGTGCAGCTTCAACGGATGTGTCATCTTTTATCCACATGGCTGGGAGCAAGAGAAGAAAGAAAGCACAAGTGTTAACTTCATTCGACGTCTATGTGGAGCAAGGACTTCTGGGATGACTCTGGCGGTGACAAATTGAGTTTGTTGACGGTTCTTTGTTTGCTTGGGGCTCAAGAGAATCCTTCTGGTGAAGAAGTCCCAGAGAGGATGAGTTCACCGTGTGGGTGGACTGTAGTGAACTGTGAGACGCCTCGATTGCCTGATCAACAGACAAATGTAACATCCAAGAATGTGTTTCCACTGAAATATCCCCCCAGGTTTTACAACAGTGTGTCCTCAAGGTGGACGAAAAACAAATGAGTTCTTGTTTTGGCAAAACCTTACGTGACTGTACTACCTCCAAAACCCATTTCCATGTTCTGGAGAAATTCCATCTTGGAGCCCATAACGATGTCCTCTGGATTGGTTTTGCTCCATGCACGACTCCCAGCCACATCAAAAACTGACATTGGAATACTCGTCAGAAATGCAAAAGCAAGTATCTGATTGAAACCCGACCATGCAGTTCACTTTTACTGTCTGTTATTTACTTACAAACTAGCAACAAGAGTAAACAAGGTGAGATCAGCCCTTTGCTCCAAACCTCAGGTTGCAAAGCAAAAGCTGACCCACCACATGTCTCATCGGCCTGGGGAGTCTGGGTGTCTGTGTGAAGAAAATAACCACTGCAACATAAACAGAAATTACAGAGAATGCTTAGTTTTACTGGGGGGGAAAACGTGGTAAAAGGGACCACAGGGGACCAAAATACTATTTAAGAAGGGTCTTAAGGTAGCCTTTAGAGTGCATATTGAATTTGTGGACAAAAAATAACATTCATGTCACTTATCCTGGGAGTGGTCAGGGATTTTTGCATACTGACTACAATCCTTACTACTGTATGGTGTGTGAATTGTGTAAGGTCATTGGAAAAAACAAGAGCCTCAAATCCAAATCATATTTTTTTGCTATAACATGTGATGGTAGTTATTTTCTGCATAAAATAGATAGAATTAAATACTTGAGCCTATGGCTCGACTCAGATATCGGACTTGGTGTTCTATACAGATGTTAGATATTGTTTTATACTGTTTATACACAACTTATATTACCAATTTTGGATTACACTGATGTTGTTTATCAAAATGCTTCTAAAACTAATCTTTGCTGTGAAGTTACGGTGAGGACCTTTTAACTGCTTGATATAGTCTCATTTTAAAACTGATGCCTCTATATGACCTACATCTGAGTAAACGAGACCATCAACAAGAATATTGGCGCAGAAGCAGTGCTTTGACATACAGACACCACGCTGCTGGAGGCCCAGGCCGTATTGCTGGGCCCGCTGGAGGGAAGGGAGGCGGGCAGGAGATCTAGAACCTGGACTGCAGTAAAATTAGAAGTTTTCTAAAGGGACTTTGGTGTTCTGAAACATCAGCCCTTGGGTCCACAGGGACCGACAAAATCAACACAAATTTAGCAGCTTAATTGTACATGTTTAAGTAATATCAATTAATGAATACGTCCTTGGCTACTTTGTAGCTAGTTAACTGTTGTATTTTTTTTTGTGTAGTCCGTTTGTGTTGTTTGTATGTGCAACTGTTTTCATCTGTTGCTTTGATTGTTTGTATTTTGTGTATGACCCCCTCGAAAAATGAGATGACCCATGTCAAGGGGCTTATCCTGAATATATACAGTATGTGTGCATTAATACATAGAATTAAAAAGTGGAAGTGGATGTCCCATCATACATTCCTCTTTCTCACCTCTGCAATCATGCGATTGGTGTCACCCAGGAAGAGCAGGTTCAGAGCCTCCTCCTCATTGGCTGACTGCTGCAGGGACAGGTTCCTTAGATGGATCTTCTGGTCTGGATCTTCCATGATCAGTACCTTACTGCAAAAGAAAAATGAATGTTTGAAGGAAATTCCATGTATAATAAATTTACTTGAAAACATGAATTTAAAAAATGACAAAGCAGGACAAATCTGAGCCAAACCCAAATAATCCCAACACTAAAGCAATTATGAAAAAGCAATTATGTCAGTTATGTCATCCACTTCCCTTCCATCGCCTTGCTCTGCTCTAAATCCAAACAAACCACATCTGCGAGTCAGTGTGGGCTGCGACCAAGTTTGACACGTGTGCTTTATCTTTCCGGGGGTTCATAACTTGATAACTGCCAGGCCCTGCAGCTCAAAACAAACAGGTGATTGGTTCTTGGCCACATCAAGCCTTCTAAAACACAGTGTGCTTGGACAGATGGGGCTGAAAGGACTCCTATGATTTCACCATATCATTTCCTTCATGCCACCAGGGTTTTGACAGTATGGCTACTGGATTGAGATGTCAAAAGAGGGTGGAATGACTGGAGAACACATGTGGACAATTATGTTAACATGTGTAGGTAATTGATGTAGTTTGATAAAAAAGTATTAATCTTAATCTGATTAAAGGCCTGTGCTTTGGCAGCTCCACAAACTCAAAAAGGTTTTGATTATTATATTTTACACAAATGAAATGACATGACTGTTTACCATTCGGAGGGTGAAATGCTGAATGCATGATGGAAATAATGCGCAGATGAGACGAGAAGAAGTAAAACAGGAACAAAAATGAGTCCAAGAATGTGAGAAAAAAGAGAAGGGGTACGCAGGGAAAGGCAACAAGAGAGAAATTTGTCAGTGCCACAGCTTATTCTTGAATCAGTGTGGCCACAGCATGGTTAACATGGGGCACTGTCTATTTCCAGAAGACTGTGATTTGTGGGTATCTAAACCTTGAGCTGGATCCTCTGCTTAAACTTAAATGGAACTGATACAAGACAAACACCAAAATGATGTACTGAGACGATGTTGTGCCTGGAGGGCCAAAGTCTCGTTTGAAATAAGTAAGTATTGAGTTTGACAAAAAAAAAAAAGAAAGAAAATCATACACAGACAAACCTCCAGAGAGATGGAATTTATAATTACAAACAGATGGACACAAACAAAGTAAGAATGTAAAAAATAAAATAAAATCAGACCAGCGGCAGCAGCGACTAGCTATGAAAAGCAATTTCTCCACATGACCCTCCTGCTCTCCACTCCAGTGGCAGACTCTGCCACCAGGTCGACCGCATCCATTGCTGTCCAACAGTCTCATTATGTCAGTTGGCAGTTCGTAGTGAGGTGGTAAATACTTCAAGTCTTCAGATTTCACCGCACCACGACTCTAGGCCAGGCTGACAAACGGCTGTTGTTTAGGAGAATAATGGAGGGGGTGATTGCTCTTTTCAGCTTTAAAAAGCCTATCTATCACTCCACAAGGTTAGATATATGGCTCTAATGGTTTTGACTTTTTCAAATATAACTGGATGTCTGTACAGTAGCATCAGCGTAGTAAAAGTTACAGTATTAAAAAGAACACTAACGGTAGGTCCTCCAGTCGAGATGCTTCATGTCGGGAATCCAGAAGGTCATATCCCATCTCGTTGTAGATCTCCAAGTAGGAAATGTGTGTGGTGTAAACCATACTGCTGTCCTGTGGAGCATACAATACAGAATGTTAAATTGGACTGGGTGCATACAGAGGGTCTAAATTGAGATGCTTTGCAGCACAGGGAAAAGAAGGATGGCTGAGAGAGACAGTAGAGTACTATTTTACATGTTGCTTGTATTTATCAGTAGCTGTGTTTCCATTCAATTGTCAAGTGAATTTTAAGCAAACTTTTGAAATGTCGCAAAAAAAACGTAATGCTAATTATAGGCGCGGTGCCATCGACTAGTTTGGAGCCACTATACTTGGCTACAGGGTAGTTCGGTCAGAAGTTGGCGCTGTAGGCTACGCCTGGCTGTAAACAAAGTAGAAGAAGTAGAGGATGGAACTGGAAATAAAACAAGTCAGCTTTGTCATCAATCTCATCTACTATAGAATACAGTAGATGACATCGATGACAAGGTCTGCAGGAATATGTCTCCATTGGGCAAGTGTTAATTGTTATTTCATGTCAGCTAGTATTGGCCATGGCCTTATTGTGCCAGTGAAACTGTTATCTTAAATGCCGTGCTGACCTGGGAGAAGCGTTCGAACAGGTAGGAGATGGTGCGGGGAATAATGCCACGGTCGCTGTAGCGCTCGGCCCCTCCTGAGATGGTGAAGGTCTTCCCACTTCCCGTCTGGCCATAGGCAAATATAGTGCCATTATACCCGGCCAACACACTGCATGCACGCACGTGCGCATTCATGCATGCACGCACGTGCGCATTCATGCATGCACGCACACACACACACACACACACACACACACACACACACACACACACACACACACACACACACACACACACACACACACACACACAGATAAAGAGATTTAATACACAATTTTATGAATATTGCTTTCTGCCATATCCATTTTTGGGTTTTAAAGATTTATGAGGGCATTTCGACCTTCAGTGGATAGTTGATAGAGAAGCGGTGGACTGGAAACGGTGGGAGAGAGAGAAGGGTATGACATGCAACAAAGGTCGCTGGCTGGAATTGAACCAGAAATTCTCTAGAAATACAGTCTCACTGACGTGAACATGTAATGACTTGCAAAAAGCTTCATCTGTAAATAATTTACACCGTGTGCCTCCAATATCGCCACTATGTTAATTTGCAAGAGTGCAAGGGACAGTCAAGTATATCCCCAAGCAGACACCAAAAGTCTGAGTAAATTGAATCTGACACTTTAAATCCACAGGAAAGGATGGCAGTGACTGGAGAACTGCAATGGCGACAGACATCTGCTGGTGAGGGAGGAATGTCTCGAAGTATGAGCGAAGGAAAAAGGCCCAAAACCCCACTCAACTAGGCAGGGCCTGGTAAATTTTGGTTTGGCACTGAACTGCCCCTTCTGCACGTGCACAGGGCCATGGAAACCAATGGTATCTAGCTTTGTTTGAATGAAAGAAAGCCCAAAATATTGGTGGTCAAATGAGGTAGGATAAATTTGCTCAAAAAACTGTAATAAAAAAAAACTTCTGTTCTATAGTCCTGGAAATGAACCAGGAAGGAAAAGCCAAATGACAGAGGGGCCTGACACACAAGCATGGATCAAAGGTGAGGATAAATGGTGTGCTCAAGACTTGCCAATTGTAAGGAAAAGGATATCTTGACACTATTTTTTTTTAGATGAATTATAAACAAATCTAAGCCTCTCGCTTATTCTAATGGAATTGCGACAACCTATTATTAGAGCAGTGTGTGGGTTTCCCTTTCTATGTACTGTACAATTCCACACCCTGCATGAGGCTGGTGAGGGGAAAAAAACTGCATGTCAGTTTATATAAAACACCGCGTCCACTTATGAGAATGGTGGTTGGTTGGACAGTCATTGGGCGTCCATTTAATCTTAGGGTGAGTCATGGTCATTGATTGGCAGCGGGGAGAAAAGACACAGGCTCTGTGTTTAGTTTAATGTCGGTGCTAATGATGCGGCCTCGGACCTGCCACTGAAGCTTGGGCGTTTCCCAAAGCTTGTTCCTGTTTACACCTCAGCTTTCCTGGAGATTGGGAACTCGTCTTCCAGAAGATCCTTTTTCTTATGAGAAGTCCAATCTTTTGAGGTAGCAGGGTTGAGGATAAAACTCAACAGAGCCCCGTTCTTCTTTGAACTTGGGCTACAGGTTTCACAGCCTTGTGAAATGGGTTTACAACACAGATAGAGGGTTTGCCTTGCCAGCCCGACATCATTACGGTGGTTGTTCCTCTACTGGAGCTATTAATGCTGGTTTGTTTTTAAACAACTGTGTTGGGGCTGAAATGACTGGTTTGGGTTACACCACAGCAGAGACAGAGACTAGTGTGCAAGTAAACGGGTTAGAGTTTTTGGCGAAACTTGATGTGCGCCGAGTATGACAGAGTACCGGCCAAAACAACAACGACCTGACAGCTAATGCTAGTTGAGAGGATTGGCGCCTGCCTGCATGAGTTTTGGTGCGGTGACGGCCGAAACTGCCGCGATTCAAACTCCTGACTAAACCTGAATAAACGTTTCAAGACTACGGGGGCTTTAGGAAAAACATTCCGTCAGTCAAAATTGTATTTTGTTTGTGATTACTGTAACCAGACGTGCTTCTGTAACTGGGACCATGTCAATATCAACATAAGCTTCACAAGTTATCAGCACACCAGCTGGGCTTCACATAGCTTGGTCTACGTCAGTCCCAGATAAAGTTCCTTTCAGAATCTCTTTCAATACTTTTTGTGGCAAGGATACAAGTCTTGGCCTATTCCTGTGATTGTTTTTGAAGGCAACTTCTTTCAATTCCAAATGGGGGCTGACCAGGCTGAATTATTCCTTCCATTCCCTTCTTTCTTTTAGTCACTGTGGTGAGACTGGATTTAAAAGGTTAAAACTCTGTGGAATTCAGAACATTCAGTGTGTAAACGGGCATCCTGCAGAAGAGGGCAAGGAACTGACAGTGGACTTAGAAATTTCTGATTGGAGAGACAGATTGGTCATGGCTAGACAGGGTGACTAGTGTTCTCTAGGCTGCAGACGTTACAGTCATACCAACGGCGAAAAGACGCCAAGCTCAAGTTGATATGGCAAGACAGACATGGTTGTGACTGAAACTTTGTAGCCGCGACCTTGTCCTTTCGGTCACGACCCAGAGTTCGTGACCATAGGTGAGGGTAGGAACATAGACCGAGTGGTAAATTGAGAGCTTTGCCTTCCGGCTCAGCTCCCTCTTCACCAAGACGGTCCGGTGCAGCGCCTGCTTTACTGCTGCAGCCGCACCGATCTGTCTGTCGATCTCCCGCTCCATCTTACCCTCACTCGTGAACAAGACCCCGAGATACTTGAACTCCTTCGCTTGAGGTAGGCACTCCGTCCCCACCTGGAGGGAGTAATCCACCGGTTTCCGGCAGAGCACCATGGCCTCAGATTTGGAGGTGCTTACTCTCATCCCCGCCGCTTCACACTCGGCTGCAAACCGCCCCAGTGAATGCTGGAGGTCATGATCCGAGGAGGCTAACAGGACCACATCATCTGCAAACAGCAGAGAGGCGATCCCGAGACCCCCAAACCTGACGTTCTCCACCCCCAGGCTGCGCCTAGATATCCTGTCCATGAAAGTCACGAACAGGACCGGAGGCAAAGGGCAGCCCTGGCAGAGGCCGACACCCACCGGGAACGTGTCTGACTTATTGTCGAGAATGCGGACACAGCTCCTACTGCAGTCGTACAGAGACCGGATCGCCCGTTGTAATGGGTCCGGCACCCCATACTCCCGCAGCACCCCCCACAAGAACCCCCGAGGGACCCGGTCGAAAGCCTTCTCCAAGTCCACAAAGCACATGTAGACTGGTTGGGCAAACTCCCAGAACCCCTCCAGTAGTCTTGCGAGGGACACCGAATGGTGTCTCGTTATTGGACTTCTGTGCTTGCCACGGTTTGGCCATAACGAACACCATGTTCGAACATAAGGTGGCTCATAAGTGTACCTGGTACCAGAACACCTTAGACCGGAGATCAATGATCAACTTTGTAATCGTATCATTTTATTTGCGGCCGTATGTCTTGGACACTCGGGTGAAGAGAGGAGCAGAGCTGTCAACTGATCACCACCTGGTGGTGAGTTGGATCAGATGGCAGGGGAACCGGTTGGAAAGACCCGGCAAGCCCAAACGTGTAGTGAGGGTGAACTGGGAACGTCTGGCGGAGGACCCTGTCCGGGAGGTCTTTAACTCCCACCTCCGGAAGAACTTCTCTTACATCCCAAGGGAGGTTGGGGACATGGAATCCGAATGGACCATGTTCAAAGCCTCTATTGTGGATGCGGCCGCTAGGAGCTGTGGCCGGAAGGTCATCGGTGCCTGTCGTGGCGGCAACCCGAAAACCCGGTGGTGGACACCGAAGGTGAGGGAAGCCGTCAAGCTGAAGAAGGAGACCTTCAAGGCCTGGTTGGCTCAGGGGTCTCCCGAAGCAGCTGACAGGTACCGGCAGGCCAGAAGGGCTGCAGCTGCGGTGGTCGCGAATGCTAAAACTCGGGCATGGGAGGAGTTCGGGGAGGTCATGGAGAAGGACTTTCGGTTGGCCTCAAGGAGGTTCTGGCAAACCATCCGACGGCTCAGGAAGGGAAAGTAGGGCTTACCCCAGGCTGTTCTCAGCAGGGGGGGGGAACTGCTGACCCGGACAGGGGACATCGTCGGGCGGT